ATTTTTAAAAAAATGGTAAACGACGTTCGTGGTAAAAACTTCGACCCCTTCTCCCCTTCACGAATTGTGACAAATGCTAATCAGATACCATCAGGCGCCATACCACAGTGGCTATGTTGTTTGACATGTTTACACAAGGTACTGTATGCAAATCTCTGTACTGCCAGTCATGGAATGATCCTGAACAAATCACTAATGTCTTTTTATCTCATATGGCTTATATGATAGCATTCTGACTACATGATGACAAATATCTGTTCTTGTAGTTTACTAGTCTGTATGGGGAAATCAAGAATTCTGAGTCAGATCCACCTTCTGTCCAAAGCTACAGCTAGTTATAGTTCTAGGGAAGATATTAAGCTATTGCATCTGCCGGTATGCGACACTCTATATTGCTAATGTCTCATTATAATACATTTTAATTACCTATTGCATTTCTGAACGATTAAATGAAACGATTTCGGTAAGTTTAGTAACAGTTACTACATCGTGTTTCACATTTTAATCTCGCAAGGACTGTGCTAACAACTCTCTTTTAATTCCAACAGATTTTTGGAACATTGTGTCTTTGTTTGTCATACTTTTGTAACTTGTACAACTGATTCTTGTCGGACTTTATCAATACCAAACATTATTCGACGTTCAGTACGCCATTGTTTAATACGATTTTTACGTTTTTGCATTTCTTCTTCGAGACGTTTTTGTTCAGCTTCCTATTGAAGAAATGACAATTGAGAAAAGAATAAAAAATAAAGAAAAATTGTTACTTTATTAAGAGGTTTAGGTGTAGTTGCTACCACTGATGTTGTTTGATTCATAGAAGTTTGCAGTGATTTACATTCTTTATCAGCTTTCGATGAATGATGTCGAATTGGAGATCTTGATCGTGATGTACGACGAGTTTTACTGCTTTTTTTGGAATGTCTAACAAAGAAAAAAAAAACGTAAATTAGATTTTTATCTGAAAATATTTTTTATTTTTCGTACTTTTTTAATGATTTTCCATCATGTCTGTGTTTATGTCGACTAGATGAATGTTTTTCATCTCGTTCACTACTTGATCGATATGATGATGAACTTGATGAATGTTTTCTAAATAAAAAATGAAATGAATTATTATTTTGTTCGAAGATACAAAATACCAGAAAGAGAGAAAAAAATACAAAACAAAAAATTTATTGTCTAATGTTCATTGACGTTGAAAATTAACAATTTAAATGCATACTTGAATGGTATCACACATCGAATTTCTTTCAATTGAATACATATAAACACCAATTATAATATTTTATTGATTTGAATTTCATAAGTAAATTCAATAAAAACTTGATTGAAATGTAAAGATGTTTTTAGCTGATCTATGAAAATAAAGAAAAATTGTTGTAGATTTAGAACAATAAAATAAAGCAAGAAAGAGTTTATTGATCTATCTTTCGATGTCGGCACTTATCGAATTATATCTTATTGGTAAGGATCGCCTTTTTCTGGATTTCTGAAGAACAGTTTATCGGAAAAAAGTTACCATCCCAGATAGTTTCATCTACAAGATACTTAAATCACAATGACGAAAAATCAATATTTTATTCAGATTTTCTCTCTCAGAAGGGAGAAGAATTACAAAAATTTTCGACCCAGACTTACAATGATTTTATTGACTGGCATAAATAAGCTTCCTTTCTTTAATTAGCTGCTACATTCCACAGTTCTGAACAGTATACATTTTTGATTAAGACATACTGCTGAATAGGGCGACATAAATATCTTGTGATCTAAATTCATACTGCTAAGCATTACAAAATGTACCAACTAGTCAAAGAAATAAAGCTTTTTATAGGAGGAATGAAGTCAATTTAAACTTGGGTCAGAAAAATCAGGCCTAGCAGGATGAACGTCTATTTCTGGAAGCATCGAGATATTGTACGACGTGACGCAAAATCCTATCAAGAATAATAGTTAGGAATTTCAGAGAAATTTCAATACTTTAGCAAAAATGACAGGATTTTACTTCCAAATATCGAAAATCCCTCGATCGTCACAACAAGGCTCTAAATATACATATATTGCCAATTTCAGAAATTATCAAGAATTTACAGTAATTACGAGAATTTTCTCATGATTTATATTAATATATCCTATCATGAGACGAAGACTCTAGACCTTGAAGACTATTGAAATTTCCTAATAATTACCAGTAGATTATGCAAATTTAATTTCTAAACTTTATTTAATACAGTTACAAGCGCTCTTTGATTTTCTATAATCAATAGTTTTCATCGTTGCTTTCTTCATACCTAAAACTGATCCCTTTTCTTATATAGCTATACCATAGAACAAGTGAGTATCAACATGAAATTTTCTCAAAAAAGATTGCATACGATCAAGCTTTATATGTTTCATACATAATTTCTTTCTGAATAGTAGAGACTAATCATCTCCTAGAATAATCTTTTTTTTTCTTATATACTTGGACTGGTATATCGACGATATTTTAACAATACTCAACGGTTCTATTAAAAATTTTTATGTATCGATAATTATCACAGCACTCCTAATATAAACACTCATTTATACACGGAAAAATTTTTGTTTGATCCTCTGGATCCTCGAAGAGGGAGAGGTCTGTAATTTCTATTATTTCTTTTTCAAATTTTTATTCAGAGTATCCAGATTTAATTTATACCAGAAACTTGAGAATAATTCATAAATATTTTATGTTCATTGCAAAAATAATTTTTTCCATATTCCAGTTCATAAAGGATAATTCACTGATTATTGTTACATAGAAATTTTTAATAAAACTATTGAATATTTTTAAAATATCATCAATATAATGATCCGTGTCATATAGGAACATAGGCTATTCAAGAAGATAATCTTGCAAGTTAATAATGAGTCCCTACTGTTTTGAAATATGTTATCTGTAAAACATATAGAACTTGATAACGTACAATTTTTGAGTCTGAAGCAAGCAACAAGGAAAACTATTGATTATAAAAAAAAAATCAAAGAGCAACTACGTGTGTATCGAATTGAGTTTAAAAATAAAATTTACATAAGTTTATCTTCGAATATCCTAGAGATTACAATGTCTATGATTTATATACCATTGAATGTGGCAACAATCTTCTTCAAAACCACTTATATAGGATATTCTAGTTCAAGAAATATCATCAAATCCGGAAAGAGGTTCTTTCATGTGAATTGAATGTATCTAACTCAAGATCGTTTTTTGAGATAGCAGGGTAGGGCTTGATATAAAATTCTTTACCAGTTTCTCCACAAATAAGAACAACAAGATTATCATGAATAGCTTCCATAAAAGTCTGTTCTTCAGTAATAATTGGTAATTGTGAATGTATTGCTTGAATTTCTTCACTACGTTCAACTTGAACATTAGCATGTGGTAGAGCTGGAATATCAACTTTAGTTTCTTCGACACTACTTGTACTACTTTGATGGTGTCATCGTTTGATAGGAGGTGGAGGAATAGATGTTGTTATTGTTGTTGATTGAGAAGGAAGTAAAACTTTACGAATCTCTTCATCATTAATAGTTTCATCATCATCATCATCATTTGAATTTGATTCTGAATCACTGAATAAAATAAAAAAAATTTTCCTTATTATAAATGAAGATTTATGATTAACTAACTTTTGAATTATTTCTGTAGATACTTGAGCTGAACGTTTTCTAGAACGTTGATTAAAATTAATCGAAGTAGAAGAATTTGTTATTGAAATCTGAGTATCAATCGGTTGACTGAATAAGAATAATAAGATAAAAAAAATAAATAAATAAATAATATTTTAAATTTTAAAATTACTGTTTGATTTTACTATCGATATTTTTTACTGAATGAAGAAGAGCTAATTCATCATTTGAAATTTGTATTTGTCCTAATTTATCAAGTAATTCAACTCGCTATAACAAAAGAAAAAATTAAATGTTAAAATTAACATCAAATTATGAATTCTTTTTGTTTACTTTAGCTTTTTTCTTTTTAATATCAAGCACTTTTTCAAGACGTTTACGTTCTTTTTTTGATAATTTATGTTTGATAGATGTTGTTGTTTGACTAATAGAATGAGTTATTCGTTTTTTTGATGATAAAATTGAATTATTGTCAGCTGTTGTTGTTTCACCTTCAACAATAACCTGATTGAAATAAAAATTGTATGAAAAAGAAAAAGTGAATTAGAAGTAAGAAAAAAAAAAAAAAAAGTACATTTGTTGATGGATTTTGTTCAATAACAATTTTTTTTTTTGTTGACGACCTTTTTTTATTAAAACGACGTGCTAAACGAGATAGTTTCATCTATAAATTAAATATGTCTATGCCATATGCTAAAATATCTTGGATTTGTGTTTTTTTTTTTTTTGTTGCTTTATCTTTTCCTCGAAAAAACATAAATCAAACACAAAAGCACATACTTAAAAATACTGATGAAAGAAACAAACAATCATAGATGAAAATGAAAAAAAAAACAAAGAAGTGCAATAAAACAGAGGAATGAAATAATACAAGTTATTGTCTATTATTATAATCTGACATGTTGATATTGATTAATCAATAGGAAAGAATATAATGAAAACAATTTTTTTTTGTTTTTTTTGTTATCTATGGTTTTTTCATTATATTTTCTGTAGCTTGAGCGATTGTTAATACTTTTTCATCAGCTCTTTTAGTTAATGTTGTTGTTGGAGTTGCTTTTGGTAAAGAACTTATTTGTGTTGTTGATCCTTTGCCTTTAGATTTTTGTCGTATTAGAATTTCTTCTAAATGTTCACGCATTTCATCTTCTAATGAATCTATTATTAATTGTTTACGCCAAAATGTAAATGATGAATATGGTTCACTTGCAGAAAATGAATCCATTGGAGGAAATACTTGATCAACTACTTCATGTAAATTTTTATATCTTTAAAACAAAACAAAAAAAAACAAGAAACATTCAAAAAAAGAAGAAATAGAAATTTTAACACATATGAAGTACATAATACTTGAGATAATTTTTGTCGAATAATTTCACCACGTGGATTTATTGTAAATATACAAGTCTCTGATATTCCAACAGTTGTGTATGTCCATTGATCCTTTAACAAAAAAAAAAAAAAAGATTCATAAAACAATATAAGACTTTCAAAATAAATATTTTTTGTTGAAAAATCGACATATTTCATTACTATTACAAGTGTTTCAGAATATGAAAATAATTTCTGTTTCAAAAGTTTTATAACAAAATGTTCATTCGTTTTCTGATCATTTGAAAACAACGAATAGGAAATAAAAATTAAGAGTTAATATTCTTAAAGATGTCATAGTATTCTCAATGATCAATATGTTTCTAATTTCAAAATGCTTACATTCAATCGATTGCCAAAACCTGCATAAAATAGATTTTTATTTGGAAATAAACTTGCAATATTTTTTAAACATTCAATTTTAAAATCTTCAGGTGTTCTTGCAATTACTTCTCTAAAAATAAAAACAATTATTCATTATAAAAACTTCTATATCTTATCAATTAAACAAACCTATAAAGTGCAATAACTAATGTATCAGGTAAAATAAGTAGTGGACCAATAGATAATGCAAAACCACATTGTTTAATATTGCGTAAAAAATTTCTTGTTATTTTACTTTGTCCAATAGCACGAGCAGATAAATAAATAAATTGGTAACCATTTTCTTGAATAGCTTGAAAAAATTCTGCAATACTATCATGTGACTAATCTTTACGAAATAATGTAAAAATATGACCAAAAACATCACATCTTAAATAAATATAAATTTTTTGTTATAAAATTTTTTTTTGTTTTTTCTTCTTTTGTCATAGAAATTTATTTTGTTATAGTACCATCAATATCGGATATAACAAATTTTGTATTATGATAAAAAAAAAGAATATATTTGCTTCAACCATAGTTGTACCTTGTAAAGCTGTTGTAACACTAAATTCAATATGATTTATACCAGTTTTAAGATTAAGTCGTTTTAATTGATCAGATGTAAGAATCATAGGTTTTTTTTTTTTTGTTGAAGTTGTTTGTTGATTTTCCATTTTATCTGTTAAATTTCTTACTTCATGATCTTCTTGTTCACTATCATTACTATGCAAAAAAAAAATATACATATACCAAACTGAGATAAATCAAAAAAAAATAAAATAGCATACGAATTTTTTCGAATAGAATTTTGATTTTGTAACATAGTTGGAACAACTTCAGATTTAACAACTAAAACCAATGCTTGTACTGATGTTGATGAAGTAGTTTCATTTTTTGTGTTAGACTATTAAAAATAGACATTCAAAAAAAAAAAAAAAAATTTTTTCAAGTATAAAATTTTATATTTACACTTTTGCCAGAAAATGGTCATAAACTAATATCACCTGTTGTACGTGGTGTAGTTGGTGTCATATATATATCTTTTTTTGTAATTGTTCAACTATTTCAAGTGGTAATTGTTTATGATAGACACTAGCCGAAGCAATAAGTGCTGAAGCTACATTCCAATTATGATATCTAAAACAAATCGATTATTTGAAAAAAAACGTTTTTTTTGTTTTGTTTTTTCTTTTGTATATTCAATTTACATATTTTCCACCAATACGTACAACTAAATTTGGATCATTAATAATTGATAGATTATTAGCAAATTTTTCATATGAAATAATATGTGCATTAAATAAATCATCTGTTATCAATAATGGTTTATCGATATTTCCACATAATGAAAGTTGTACATTACCGAGAAGACAACCAAATGAAAATGAAAATTATTTAAAAACAACTATATATTTCATCTTTTTGATGTTTAAATTAAAAAAAAAAATTTTTTTTCTACATACGAAGTTTCATATTCTCGAACTGGAGAATTTGGTATTGAATTGCCTGTTCCTAATTCTTGATCATCATCATTTGGAGTTCTTGATTGATTAAGATAATAATTCCTAATTTAAATTAGATATTTATTTTTATAAAAAAAAAAAAACATATATATGAAAATAAAATAAACTTACATTTGAGGTAAATAACGTGAACAATCATCACAATTATTATTTGTTATATCATCAAGATACATTCCTTCTTTAGATATACTTTGTTTTGATGATGAGAATGATGGCCATAAATATCTAAATACACTTCGTCTTTGTTCAGGAAATTCACTCCATTTCCATTGTCATACAGAATTTGTTCGATTTTTTCTTACTGATTGTTGTGATGATTTATCTAATTCATATTCTGTATCAGATTGTGGACTTGGTGGTCAAAGAGACATAGGACTTAAGAAAATAAACAACCATTATATTATTTTGGAGTTATAGATAAAAGACGTTCAGATAAATATCACATATTTTGGACCATGTCTCTTCTTTTCCTGCATGTCCTTTATGAATGACTTGTTTTTTAAAATTAAATTAAATTAAAAAAAAAAGAAAAAAAAAAATTATTATTTACTTTTCAAATGTTGATGTTGGTAAAAAATCTTCATTTAAATAAAACGATGTTGACTCAGTTGATTGAGCCATTCGAATTGGAAGAGTATTGTCATCATTTATTATTGGTGCTGATTGAGAAAAAATAGAATTAACTATTGAATTTGATTCTTCAGCAGTTGGCAATGGATCATTTATTATTGGTTTTGATTCAATTGGAACAGTCAATGTCCTTAATAACGACACTAAAAAAATAACATGTCTTGTTTGATTTAGTGCATAACCATTTTACATTCAAATCAAAATATTTTTACACATGCATAATCTTGGAAGTGTCCTCTTTCGAATGATATAAGAACTATTTTTCTCTGACACGTAGTCACGGAGAAATCAGCGATATATGAAAACAACCTGCATCTGCTGTTATTAGGATCCATTTCCCTAATAACAACAGTCAGCTAATTTTCGATCCTAATAACAACACTAAGCCATTTTTTGTCCCTAATAACAATACTTAGCCATTTTTTGTTCCTAATCATGATGTACAGTTATTAGGAATAAAAAATGGCTAAGTGTTGTTATTAGGGTCACTCGGTTTTTGATCAATGCTAGACCCTCTCTCTTCAAATTTTCTATCTCAATAAGTAAAAATTTATTTATTGTGAACCTTTAGATATAGATAGAGCTCATTACGCTCTACAAAAATGACAATAGGACCTTTGCTTGATTTTCGATCAGAAACCGTGAAAAAATTTTTTTTTTCTGAAAAAGTACATTTTTGATTGCATTTTATTAGAGTGTTGTTATTATGGTTAAAAATTAGCTGACTATTGTTATTAGGGAAATGGATCCTAATAACAGCAGATGCAGATCGTTTTCGTATACCGCTAATTTCTCCACGACTACGTGTTAGAGAAAAATATTTCTTATATCATTCGAAAGAGGACACTTCCAAGATCATGCATGTGTAAAAATATTTTGATTTGAATGTAAAATGATTATGCACCAAATCAAACAAGACATGCTATGTTTTTAGTGTCGTTATTAGGAACATTGACTGTACTGTTGATAAAATCTACACAAAGATTTCATTTTTTTAATTATAATTCTTCTTTTTATTTTTATTTTTTTTCAGAAAAAGTAAATTAACATATGTTTTAAACAAAAAAAAAAGAAATAATCGAAATATTTTTTTTTTTACATATTTCAGCAAATTTAAAGAAAACGAAATACACATAATTGAATTTAAATGAAAACAAATAAATATACGCACAAGCACAAAAAACAACATTGATAACAAAAAAAAAAACTATATATATATTTTTTTTATTTTTTTTCCATCGTTTCTATTATTTTTAAAAGTTGTTCTTTTTCTTGATCCCATTGTTCTTTTTCTTGAACCAATTGTTCTTTTTCTTGATCCCATTGTTTTTTTTCTTGAATCAACTTTAATAATTTGACCAATACCCAGGTCGAACAAGCACGGTCGTAAACGACCGTATACGGAGAAATACGACCATTTACATGTGATCGTATTACGATCGTATATCTCCGTGTCGTATACGGAGCAATACGATCGTATACGGACGAAAAAACGGTCGTTTACGGAGACAGTAAACGGAGGCCGTATACGATCTCCGTTTTGCTCCGTTTTTCTCCATATGCGGTCGTATACGACCGTATACGGTTACGGAGATATACGGTCGTATACGATCGTGTACGAACTCCGTAACGTTCGACCTGGGTAACAATGAATTCATTTCATTATTATTCTAAAAAAGAAATTCAAATAAATTAATGACTAGGAAGAAAATCAAACAAAGAACTACATTATATCTCTATCTATATCCTGAACTATTTCTATCGTGAGACGTGTTTGACTTACTGATTTATTTTCTTTTTTTTTAATGGACATTATTTTCTATAACTGATAGAAAATGTCCATAAAGCAGCATTTATATAGATGATCAAGGTGAGAGTGGACAATGCCGTCCGCGAGGAACAATGATTACTCATTGTTCTTTGACTAATTGACTTAAATAGAATATATATGATTTTTCTTTATATCTATTGTTCACCTATTATCAGATATTTCTCTATTGTCGCTGCTAGATTTAAGTAGAGGTAAATGTAAGACGAAGGCATTTCAACAACTATAGAATATTTACTTCGAAATCATTGATTAAGTTTATATAAGGTTGGATTTTTTCTTCTAATTCACTATGTTCCTTCTTAAGTTCATCAATTAATTCACAAAGCTAAAAAAGAAATAAAAATTATAAATCATTTCTTTTTTTTTTTCGATCTACTTGTTGATTTTCTCTAAGTTGATCAACCAATTTTATTCGAGTACGTTCAGTCAAAGTTTCCCAATAAAAATTTGTTGCTTGATCTATAATATCAAAGGTTATATTATTATTATAATCCACAGAAAATTGAGATGTGTAATAAGAGAAATTCTTATCGAGACCAAGGATATAAACAGAAATCAAATACAATCTTCTCAATAATTGCATTCAATTTCTAAGCAGACTTTGATAATTGAAATCAGAATACACAATTGACAAAACATATTATCATACATAAGATTAAATATCTAATAAATATCTTCTCAAACAATTAATATTAAACCTGATTCTTACAAAGATCACTGTGATCGTAAATCATATATTTATTTACTTTGAATAAAATTTTCAAAATCAACATCATTCATATTTTTTCCACGCATTAATATATCATTTAAATAATTGGATTTATTTGTATCTTTCGAAGATTCTTCAATATAATCTGTTTCTATACATGCTGGTGATTTTGATTTAATTAATGATAATAGATAATTTTGAGGAGAATTTATTTGTTTTAAATGTTTTGTTTTTGATGGTGACAATGATGTTGACTGTTGAAACAGAATATCTAATAATATAAAGTGTAAAAGTTTTCTATTTATGATATATTTTGAAAAGAATGAAATGATATGTTTTAATAATAGAATTTATATGAGCATAAAGCAAAACCAAAAATCTACTAGCAGATATTGATAGGTGAAAAGAAAAGAAGGAAAATCTTCATATAAAAAGAAACTGGAGATAAATAAACACATGTATTTACTTCACTTTCTTTTCAAAGTCAAATGAAAACTTCTAAACATCTATCTAGTGCTTATTATAATTTACCTGTAAAATTAGCTTGTTGTAAACGAACACAATCTTGAATATTTTCTGAATTATATAAACTATTAAATATATTTTTTTCTTTTTCAGAATAATTTGAATTAAGTATTTGATGAATTTTATTTTCCATTTGTTTAACAATTTCACCAATATTATTTATATGTTGACTAAAATCTGTTATTCGATGATCAGATTCAAGTTGTATTAATTTTCCAGCTAAATTCATCATGTCAAACATTGTTTTATTTGTTTGTAACCAAAACATTACTGTTGATGTTAATTTATAATGTGCTGAATGACCATTTTGTTTTTCTTCTACTACAACAACATGAATTGAATCCTGACATTCTTCACTTGTACTATTTCCATCATCAAATTTTTTAATAAGTATAACACCAGCAAAACCATTTTCAAGATCCCAAAAATAAACTGAAGAAACACCACCTTTAAAAAGCATTTTATGATATTGTTCAAACATTTGATTAGCTTTGATTTCAAGTTGACGAAGACGATCTGATGGAAGATTTCCTAAATAAAAATAAATAATTAATTAATTAACTTTTTACATTTTTAAAAGAACATCTTTCTAAAGATTCATTAATTTTTCAGAGAAAAATAAAGAGAGAGCAGACATTTTTATTATCTGTATAATACAATCAATGGCATTAAATTATTCGATTCGATAATACGCATACTCTTGTTCTTAATTTCATTAGTTTGAAATTATCATTAATCAAAAATAACGATAGTGACTAATTGAACGTTGAAATTTTTTAACATTCATTAAAATATCAATTTCGTAAAAAACAATCAAACTCTCCATGCTAAAGTTCGACTCTAAAAAAAAAACCAAGATTTATTTTAAAAACATACCATTAGATGGTGGTGTATAAGTATTTGTCCATGGTGATCGATATGAATCTCCATTACGATTACGATCACATAATAAATAATCTTTTCCAACAGTTTGATCATGAATAACTTTAAGTGGTTGATTAACAACAGTAGCTAAAAATTCTTCAGTTGAATCGAATACAAGATCATTAAGATTCGAAAGAATTTGTTCCATTTGTGTTGTGATCGAAGATGTCTTATTAAATCGATTGAAGAATCGAATTGTGATTCTATTGATGTGTTTGTTGTTGTAGTTTTTGTTGTTGTAGTGTTTGTAATCTGAAAATGAAAAAATAAATATATTTGTATATATGCCACTATCAAAAAACAAAAATCTCAAAAGAAAAATACTTTTGAATTAAAAAAAAAACAACATTTATTATGTATAGAAAATGAGTACTTTCATACAAAAAAAAAAAAAGAAAAAAAGAAATCATTCATTGGTACACATTTGTTTTCCCTTTCTTACTGCCGAACGTAAAACCCGATTTACTTAAAGATTTAAAAAAAAAAATCAAACATAGATATAATTAATTATTCAATAAAAATTCTTGTTGTTCTTTTTTTTTTGTTTAACGCCTCAACCAAACATGCACAAATAATACTATTGAATGTCAATCAGTCATAAAGCATCAGTCAAAAAGTAGCCATTCAAGAAGACATAATTAGCTTGTTTGTTGATCTCACACGAACAAAAGAAAATATTCTGTGCGATATTAATCATCAAATTGAATGTGGATGTAGTTTTATTTTTTTTTAATATTTTCGCAGGCATACACAGATGAACGACGTCAACAAAATAAACGTCGTACAAATTTGGTCCATTAAAGAGCAGAATAATGAGGAGATGTGCTTTTTATAATTAATATAAATAACATGTTTTTTAAATCAAATCTCAAATTTTGCTTTTTCTGTTTTTATAGATTATATCTACCAGCACCAGCAAGAAAAATAACAAATATATTCTCTCATTCACTTACAGTATCGCTTATACCTAGACGAGGTAATATATTACGTTCAGTAGCTTCTTTGTTTGAAGCTGTTCGGAAATCATTTGATCAGTTTTTCGGCCAATTTTGACTTTCACGCTCTTCCTTGTGATCATAAGTGATAATCTCTGACGAATTCTTTCCTGATCTCGTGATCTTGAGCCAGCCATATAATCCGCTTTATACACTACTCAAAAGGACATATAGGAAGGACATAAATCTAAATAGACCAGGAAAGTTGAGACGTTTTTCTATCATTTCCGACCAAAACGATAAACGGAATGGACTCAAAACAAACTCTTCTCTTAAATAATATTTTTAACCTAAAGATAGTCACGTTTTTGCGAAAAATCTTCAAGCTTTCTGAATTAGTGAATTTCATAGAGGAGTTGGCTTATTGTTTGTATGCATAATAAATTTGTATCTCTAACAGCTATGATAGCTCTAATATCTCTATAGAGACACAGAGTTATCACTTTTTGAATTTGTCACAAAATTGAATTCTTCATTAACTCATTTTGTCGTGTTTTTCTCTAAGCATGAGGGTGTGGGTGTGGGTGTG